TCAAACTCATGTCCTGTAGAGCTTTCAGGGCCTGCCTGAAACGACAGGGAAAAAAGGTCAAACTGTTTCCTTTCTCTTTGAACATTTTCAGATGTATTTGTAGCCATTAAGGAGAGTCATTCAGTGTGACTAACCCATATTCCAGGTGCCTATGAAGATGGAGATCATGTCTGGCTCGTCCTGGTTGGAATGCTTGTTCTTCATCAGCTGCAGCAGCTGGCAGAACGCCTCCCGTTTCTGGCACAAACACACATCAGTGAGCGGATGATGCCACTGACAGCTGTCATTCTGAAGTTCCTCTGAACATCTTTATATTCTATACACTTACCAACCACGTCACTGGTTACACTCTGCTAATAATACCAGCTTGGACCCCCTCTTGCTTACACAACTGACTTAATTCTTTATTCTTCTCTTTTTCAAATCATTATCTGTAAACCCTAGAGATGGGTTCGTGGGGGAAAATCCCAGCAGATCATCAGTTTCTGAAACACCCAGATCTGGCAACAATAATCATGCCATGTTCAAACTCTCTTAAATCACCTTTCTACCTTTCTCTGATGCTCACTTTGAACTTCAGCAGGTTGTGATTATCATATCTACATGTATAAATACTCTGAGTTTCTGCCACATGATTGGCTGATTATATATTTGCATTAACGAACAGCTAAACAGGTGCACATTACCTCACTGATTAACAGCAGGTTTTTAATTTTGCACAAAGAGTCTCAGTGCAGACTGAATTCATAGCAGAGAAATGCATATAAGCCTGTGCAATAACTCTGGCAATGTTACTGCAAATCTGAGTACGTACTCAGGCAGAAAAGGGATATGAGAGAGTATTTCTGCCTCAGTTTGAAGGCTCCATGTTAACTGTAAGTTGTCTGCAACAGTGAATAGCTGTAAAATAGCAGTTTTATGTGTCCATTTGTTTCTTGTGTGCAGACCTTGGCGCTAGCAAAGATGAAGTCTTTCCTCTGGCTCTTATCCTTCTCCTTCTCAAACACAATGCCCAGTTTATTCTGCACCCGCTGAGACTTGATCAGCTGACGTACTGAAAGACACAGAGGCGAACGGACAGCGGGTTAGAGATGGGAAGTTGCAGATAAATTCAGGGAAGAAAAGGTCATGTAACAGATTTGGAGGGTTAAAGAAGGTTCAAGTTGGATGGTGAGATTAAAATCCTATAATGGACATACTCTTTTCTGTGTGAATGGTGCCCCAATCCTTACTTTTGTCATGTGTGTAGGTGATCCAGTCCTCTTGATTGTCCTTCACCTTCTTCATTACTACCAGCCTTCCTCCCTCTACGTCCACAGACAGTGTGTACTTCTGACTCTTTCCGATCTTTGTCAGCTCCGCCAGGTAAACGTCGAGCTTCACCTGCAATGAGGCACAGGAGAAAGTTTAAACTCACTTAAACGCATACTGAGCATGCTTCTGTAAACCCTATGTGTCTACTGAGATAATCTACCGTCCACCAGGGGTCTCTAAAACAGAGCACAAACGCTTGCTGCTTCATCTGCAGTATTAGATCTACTTTAGTCATACGCAGCCTCGAAGATGAGAAAACGCATGAATAAAATGTTGACGATCATAGTAAATATCCAAATTCTGGTTTTAGATTCATATCCACAAAGAGAGGTGATCTGATTCTATTCATAGAGAAACTTTCTTTCACACATCAGTTATCTGGGGCAATTTGAGGATCAGTGTAATGCCCAAGGACACTTCAGCAGACAGACTGGAGGAACTGAGAAAGACGGGCACCAAACTGCCAACCTCCTTTAGCAACACACCAGCTTCTTCGCACATGCATTTTGACAAAGTGCGCTTTTTTTTGATGTATAGGTCTTACTAAGAACCGCAAGACTGGAAAAAAGTTTAAACAGATGGCGTGCACTCACTCTTACTCTGAGTCACTGAGTGCCTCTGTGTTTGGGTGTCACAAGGCGGATCAGATGCCGCATCTCCTTAGCGTAGCACTTGTGTGCAACAGGAAACTACTGAAAGGATGTCGCCACAGAGAACGCAGGCTTAGCCAACAGCCAATATTTCAATCAAGCATCTCTCGACTCATCTCTCAACTCTGTGTGTCACCTCCTTCCCCCACGTCCTCCCTGACATTTTTTCCTTCTACCCTTTTCACACTTAGTTCACCACTTGTCATTTATATCATCTTAACATGTTCCTTTTTTTCCTTTTCTCAGTCGTCCTTCAGCATTAACATTTGCACACCATGCAGCTGGTACTTTTCATAATAAAACTATTACAGTCTTATACACAGCACATCAAAACTGCCTCACTTAAATTCATGCTTTTACAAGGAAATGTGATCAAATGCTGCGACAGTTACGACGTAAGCTGGAAATGCATTGCAAAAACATTCTTTTGGCCTCACATCACATCTGCTGCTAAAATCCCTGTGCTGAGACTTTTTAGCCTATTTTACTTCAGTTTATGCCGTCTGTCATATTAAATACCACTGCCTGACAATAACATTTCAGAAATTAAATACAGAAAATAAATCTCAGGGTTTTCTACATGCAAAAAAAGCAAGAAAAAAAATTGTTTAAAAAGATGCTTACCCAAATTGGCAGAAGGGAGCTTTAATGTCCACAGAGCAATTTGACTTTAAGGGCAATACTTAATTTCATGTGTCATAATATTGACCTGCATCACATTGCAGTGAGACAGCCGGTAATGAAGTACAGTATGTAGGCGTGCATGTTTGGTGGATGTCGGTGCATACCTCGAAGGCCTGCACAGGAATGGATTTGCTGTGACGCATGGAGTGCAGAGGAGGGGGGGAGCATGGAGAGGTCAAACTCATGTCCTGTAGAGCTTTCAGGGCCTGAGGGGTATCAGAAAGAGGCAAACACGCAGGTGGAGAAACAAATAATTTAAAGAACAGAATAAAAAGAGAGTTGGAGGATAAGAATAAGGTACAAAAAAAAGAAAAAAAGAAAAGAAAACTGTAACATTTTCAGTCTCAGGGTTTGTGTCAGCTTGAAAAGGTTTCCCATTTCCTGGATGTGATCTAACAGGAGCAGGGAAGGTGGAACCAGTATCACCGTCTGGACATGTAGCCTTACTACATTGAGGCCATTTCCTCCCAAGCCAGTGAAAGCCTCCCCCACCCTCAAGTTAAGACAAAGTAGAAAACAGTGCACCTTATAAACAGGAGGTTTAATTTATTATTAGTATTATTATTCTCTTCTTCTCTTTATAATGTGAAACGAAGGCATTATCCTTAATACAAGAGTCTCAAACCTTGTGTTAAAATGTCTGCCAATAGGAAGAAAGTTGGCTTAAAAGGAGGAGGAGATAAAGCACTTTGTTCCAGACAGAGGAGGAATTTAGTGGCTGCACCAAGGGCCTTTGTAATATAAATAAGGGTTATTTTGAACTGTGAATCATGGACAGTTACTCTAGCCGACTCCAAGAATAAAAACAGTAACCTGAACATGAGCGTATTGGGTCCACTTTCCTACATGTAAAGTCTCAGACTCTCATTAACACATCAGGTCTTTGCTGACTTGTAGGGCTTCTAAAGGGAAGTCGAGCGATATCCCAACCCTGTCTCTTTCCTTCTGCGTGGTTTACATGTGCTGTATGTAAAAGCCTCAAAAGGAGAGAACGTCACATGCTGCGCTACAAGCACAGCCTGCAGGGCTTCTAGACAGATGATCCATCATATGGAGAGGGTTATCCAAACAAACCATCTCCAAACTACTAGACTAAGTACATAGAGAAAAAAGAAAGTAAGGTGAGAGCACACCGATCTTCACACTCAACGCTCACTTTTTCATTTAGATTTTTTACTCTAATCTCAACTACAAAGCAATAAAGTTTCATGACTTCATCTGGCACCACTGAACTCTACTGTGCTGACAAACTCTTGTTTACAGACTGCAGAAACACCTGTCAGAGGACTCAGAGCCGTGGCAGATCCTGCTACTGTACCACATTTTTTCCTGATGACTCACAAAGTGAAAACAATAGCCGCCACGTTGTCCATCACAACTGTTAAATGTGCCGTCTGTGCGTACCTTCTTTTCTATGGAGGACAGCAGGTCTTTGAGAATCGCCAACTTGGTCACAAGGTTCTCCAGTTCCTGGTCTCCACCCTGATTCACTGACTGATGGAGACAAAAAAAACACATTAGAGTCCATGTAATCCGTAAAAAGAGTGCATGTAAAAAGAGCAACCTTAAAACTGCACACAAACACACTTACTTATATACAGAGCAGTCTTAAGGCTATTCAGTCTAAACCAGCCTAAAATCTGTTTTTATTCAAATTTTAGTCAAACTCATTGTCAGTCCTTGCTTGATGACTAAAGTGACTCCTGAACTTCAAATCGAGGATTTTGCTGGGCCACTAATCGGCCCTACTCTCTGTCCAACCACACGAAAATGTTTTTAATTACAAAAAATAACACATGCATGCAAAATATCAAAAGAACAGCATGTGTGATTCAAGTGTGTTAAAGTTAGGTACGCAAAATCAGATTATATTTTTTATTTGCCTGTTCTGTATACAGAAGCTTTCCTTAATACCAAGTTTCTAGCAGGAGCGCTTCCGGGATATTTAAAGGACATCACGACTCACACTCTATCTTCTCTGAAACGAAGCGTAAAGCACACCACAAGCGAGCAATCCTCAACTTTACGGGTTGGCAAATATAACAATTTTGGCTATGGTCTGGAAGAAGCTGGATAATCAGGACTTTAATAACAACGCTGTTAAGTGTTAAGAAGTTACCAAGGTTCTAGAATTGAGAGTACGTCAGGAGGGGGTTGCTTTTACATGTGTGTGAGAAAGTGAGGGAAAAAATAATAAAATCACCGCGTGTAACAGTTTGTTATGGGATATGGGATAATAAAAAGGAGGGTAAGGTTCTGCGATTGCGCAAACAAAGACACACACAACCACACACTTTTAAAAAAAGCGAAGAGTACCTGTACCTGTTGGATCATTTTGGAGACCATGAAAGCGCTTTGCTGATCAAACACTTTAGACAGGATCTCCAGGCCTGACAGAACTTTATCCACCTCTCTATTTGAGGGAGCAGAGAGAGATTCACATATTTACCTCACAGCTTCTTTCTGCACTTATGTCTTCATACAGTAACATTTCTGAAATCAAGCTGATTTCCTGCGGATCATCACAGTGTTTAAACGTGCAAAAAAAACCCCAAAAAAGCCCTAGAGCTGATTTAAGGAAGTAGATAGCTCTGTGGGCCTGAGAGGTGTGAATCTTTAGCAGTCAGTCAGGAAACCGACAGAATATAACACTGCATAATGTACAATGCTTCACAAGTTTATTAGACCACCACTAATGTAAGGTTTATGCCACAGATGCCCTAAATTAATTATACTCATAATCACCAAAATCATTTTTGTGTGTCTTTTAATGCACAACCCACCAGTCTGTACAAGCTCTTTAATTATAATGATATTTTTAAATAACAAAATGCAAAACAAAACAAAAAGAGGAACAGCTATTAAGTGCATTATTATTTTTAATGCCAAATTACAGATAACAGCGTTTTTTTGCAATCTTATATTTGATTAATTTCTGACTTTTTCAGTCGACTGTGCTCAAATCTGGGTATAAAAGGGGAATTCAGTGTGTTACTTGCCTAACAAATACCAGTATGATTTGCAGTTTTAAATTCGTTTTGACAGCTTTCTAAAATATTGCACATGTGCAGATGTGCTGCTGCTTACCCATTAAGGCGTTTGCAGGAGGCCACTAGTGTCTTGTTGAGATGAGGCAGGGATGAGGCCCCCTGTTTGACTGCTTCGAGGTCCAAAGCGTAGCTGCCCTTCAGATACTCGTGGGAGATGGTGCTCAGGCCATTAGCTGCTGGAGTACTAAAACATATTCAAAGAAACCATTTATAACCATTGCCACCACATGACCATGATTTCCAAATGCTGGTATGTGTATGAGAATACAAAGAGGCTTCAAATAATAACGATGCATTAGTGATTTAAAGTCCAGGAAGGCACAAATGGTTTTGGTGTGTTCAGGGAAAAGAAAACAAAATAAAAAAGTTTTAGTGCCGTTTATTTCAAGTGATTGAGAGAAAGCTAGACTCCTTGATGTGTCTCCTCTGGGCTCCATTTAGAGCTGGGCCATATCATACCGTTCACGGGAATACCGGTATAACGTTGGGCAACGATAAGCAGAATGAGAAGGGCGAAAGCGGATCGTTGAAACGGATGAACCAGAACTGGTTTGTAAAAATGCTGCAACT